TCCCTTCTGTTCTCAAATTTGATTTGTCCTTTTCATATGTGTTCATTTTTTTTTAATTGTATCCTTTGGTATATATGGTTGTGACAATTTTCTTCCACTATTTGATCTGAGGAAGTGGGTCTGGCCCACGAAAGCTCATCACCTAATAAACCATCTTGTTTGTCTTTAAAGTGCTACATAGTCCTGTTTTTTGTTTCATTTACTCTGAGGAAGTGCCTGAGTCTCTGTTTTAGAGAACTTGTCTTATTTCTGAAGAACCTATTTAGAACTGAATTCATTTAGCTCAGGAGAATTTCTCCTGATTTGTTGAGAGAGAAGTATCAGATGAGGTTCTCTGTCTGTGTTTTTAATTCAGTTTGTGTGACAAAGGAATTCAGCTGGAATTTGTTCATCTAATTAGACATAGAAATCAGAACAGAGAAAGAACCTCTATGTTCCCATTTGAAAATATTTATAGACACTGCACCAAATTTCACTGAGCACAGTTAATATATCTTTGCATCTTTAATGTAGCTTTGGAGGCACATTTCAAAACTTAAATTGGACTATGGGTTGTTACACTTCCTGGCTCAAGTAAAACCACATTCCATGTAAAGCTACGCTGTAAGGCAATAATATTAAGAATTCAACATAAGTGAGAGAATTCAACATTTCAGTAACTATACCTTATTAAATTAACACCTGTAGTTTGTGACAGTACAAAAAAGCTTCCCAGTCTGAAGAATAGTATACTTTGCTCTGTCAGAGGTGGGGAACCTCTGCTCTGTGATAACTGGCTGAATGTTTTTGGGTCGGGGCCATTCTCAGTTGAGGGCTGGATGCGGTCCTTGAGGCTCAGGGTCCCCTCCAGCATTGAGGAGCCTGGACTGGTGCTCCAGTGCCCCTGTTGCTCTTCCCCCCCCCCCCTTCCCGGGGGCTGGAGTGCATGAAATCTACAAGGCTGATCTCTCCCCCTCTTTCCCCTTGTACACCAGAGCCTGGGGGGGGGGAATGTGGGGAGTCTTTCTCCTGCTCAGTCAGGGGACACACTGAGGGTTTTTTCCCCGCTTCTCACTTGTGTGCGGCCTCTGACTGATTTTCGTGTGGGTCAGTGGTTCCCAACCCAGAAAAGTTTCTGCTTTGTGATAACTGGCTGAATGTTTTTGGGTCAGGGGTCATTCTCCATTGAGGGCCTCAGTTGAGGCTGCAAGAAGCAGGAAAAGACACCTCACTCCCCTCAAGCTGCAGTCCCACAGGATGGGGGGGTATATGTGCTGAGGCTCAGGGCTTACCCCCAGGTCCAGATTAACTCTTCTGGGAGCCCCTGTAGACTCTGGGTTAGGGTGAAAATCAGGGGTTCAGTGTGCAGGAGGGGGCTGCCAGGGAGCAGGCTGAGGTTTTGTGTGAGGGATCTGGGCACGAGGTAGGGTGCTAGACTCGGCTGGTGTGGGGTTTTGAGGCAGGAGGTATGGTGCAGGAGCGGGCTGGGGTAAGGGTGTGGGGGTCTGGGCTGTGGAAGTAGGGCACAGGAACAGGGGTGGGTGGCAGGTATGGTGCACGAGCAGGCTGGGTTGAGGGTGTGGGGTCTAGGAAGGAAGGTGCAGGAGTGGGAGCAGGAGGTGGAGCGGGGAAGCAGGGTAGGGGTGGCAGCTGAAATCTTGAAAGTGGCCGATTTTAAGACCCTGTCATTGACCTAAGTGAACTGTAAATTTGGTAAGTGGGGCCCCTGTGAATTCTGTGTGGTTAGTACGTATCAAGGGTATGCGCTGACGTTTGTTTACACAGCTACGTGTGTAGTCATGTCTTGCACCAATCAGGGACGGAGCGGGGAAGCAGGGTAGGGGTGGCAGCTGAAATCTTGAAAGTGGCCGATTTTAAGACCCTGTCATTGACCTAAGTGAACTGTAAATTTGGTAAGTGGGGCCCCTGTGAATTCTGTGTGGTTAGTACGTATCAAGGGTATGCGCTGACGTTTGTTTACACAGCTACGTGTGTAGTCATGTCTTGCACCAATCAGGGACGGGGATGGCCATGTGCCACCACTGTAGCAAATTGAAAGATTTAATACATGAGACTTAAACATAGTTGTTAACACAGCTCCTTCTCCTATCTCCTCCCCACTTTTTTTTAACAGTTCCTCGCAACAGTATTTGTAACTTAAATAAAAAAATTCATCAGTAAAAGGAAATTCTGTGAATCCATCATCTTTAAATACTGTTTTTCAACTTCTTTGGTAGCACATCTATCAGAAGTCCAGTTATTAAAATGTTTCTGAAATATTACTCAAAAGTCGGCAAATCTTATGAAATTATGCAAAATATCTTAGCGAAACTTGTAAGTTTGTAATTTCAGGAACTTGTTTGGTTATGCATTGCAATATTCATCTGCATTAGCTACTCCCATAAGTGGTTTGTGTAGAAAACCAGTACTGTGTTCTGCATGTATGTATGATGTGTTACAGCTATGAAGGTAGTCTTTTAACATGAGTCTTTTTTGGAGAGTATTGATTGTTTTTACGAGGAAAAAGGAAAGTGAGATAAACCTTGGTGAGGAATTTGAAGAACTTTGGAGTGGAAGATCATAGAAAACTAAAATTCCAATCTGTTTGCACATCAGTTTTATCATGTATTTAGGTAACTAGTTATCAACTTCTGCTCATAGTACTGGAAGCCTACATGCACTTTCCTACTTCCAGCCATTTATTGAATAATTTTCTAGTTAAATTGCTGAAATATCTTGATGTTTAAGTTAATATAGTTTTCTTGATTAATATATTACTTGAGTGGTATTTAATAAAATCAGTTGTTCTTTTCATTGTGTTGCCATGCCTGCAGACATAGCAAGCTGACACTTTGTGCTATGTCTTCAGATTATACAAGCTAGGAAAGTTTAGACTAGATGGGTGTTGGGACTGGAAACAGTCATGGAAAACCTATTTGATTAAAGGGACTAATCAGTAGGTGACATTCTTCCCTTTGAGACTGCACTGAACCAATTGCCTAAGTATAGTTTTAGAACCATTTTAAATGGTTCCATCATTGCAGCTAAAATAAAAACTGGTGTCTGTCACAATTGGCTGGTTAAATTGACCGGAATGAAGGAATTTGATATTTAACTTGCAGAACAACATTTTAAAAATGTATAATGTTGCTACTATAGCCATATCTTCGCTTCACTTATTTTTAGGGCTAAGTGTTATCTCCTGATCCCTCTGATTTTAAAGAAATGTGTCTTGATGCAGACATGGTAGACTTCATTCCCTATCTTTATTTATTTTTCTTTAAGTTTTAAAAAGCAAACACAAGAAGCTATAGGACAAAGGGATATAAAAACTGTCATTCTTAAAAATACTGGCTGAGTACTGCAATGTCTGCTAGAATCTTAGAATTCAGTAGGTACCGTACCATTGATGTGGACAAACTGAGGGCACACATTCATGGTGGAGTAATGTGCACTATGTGGATGTGCTTTCTGTTGCACATTAATTGGTTTGATTTCAAATAGCACTACAGTAAAGAGCACCAAAGAACTTTTTGTGCCCACCAGCAAAGCCTACATGGACTAATGCACAATATGTTCCCAACCTTCTTGATACTAGGGACTGGAAAACCCATTCACAAACTTTTGGTGGGCCGGTAACATTTGTATATTTGCATATTAATTATGCAAATGACAGACATGCAAATAGTGTTACCCATCTTCCAAAAGCCTAGAGCCCCCAGTGCCAGCCAGGCCCTAACCCCCTCGGCGCTACTGGACCAACCCGGCAGCACCCCAGCTGCTCTGCCCCAGGTGTCCCCAAGTCAGCCGCTGCTGAAACTGAC